CTTCTCATTCTTTCGTGCTTGACGCTCTTCATACCTGAATAAATAAATATAAAAAAAAAACTCCAAAAAAAATAAAAATAAAAACAAACAGAATTACATAAAGATCATTAATACTAACATCTTTCTATGTTCAATTATACGTTCAATAATTTTTGATGTCGTTAATTCAGCAGAAGGATTTTCAATTTCAACATAAATTCCTAGTGATTTAGGAATCTACATAACAATAATTGTTAATATATATATATATATTATAAAATGATAATATAAATTTGACTATCGCATTACTTCATAAGGATCTTTTCCATTTAGGTCGGGCAATGATGGAGTATTTCCATGAGCTACAATGTCGACTTTATAAACTTTTGATAATACGTTATTGTCAACACTGTACGGTGCACCGATGATAACTTCATCTACAAACTGTTTATAGGAAAGAATTTTTTCTTTTTCTTTTAGAAAACAAAAGAAAATAATGATGAAAAATGAATTAAAATTCGAAAATATTTACTCTGCAAGCGAGAACGCTCAAAACGCGCTCATGAAGATTCATCAAAGGATAATTCACTTCTTTAATTGCATTAACCGTCTACACAAAGAAATCTATTGCTCAAATAAAAAAATTACGTTGAAAGATAAATGATCAATGCTAATTGATGAAAAAAAAAATTCATTTACTTGATCATCATGAACACCAACTAACAAATAATCTCCCAAAGCCTTTGCTCTCTTCAAAAATTCAATATGTCCTACATGGAACAAATCAAAAGTTCCATCAACATAAACGACCTTATCTCCAGCTGCTGGTTCTTTTCCCTCCGAGAATTGCACTATCCTTTTCGAAGTTGGTAAAAAATGGGAAATTTTTGTTTCTGGACTTTGTTTTGATGCACTACTACTAAAAGTACTTAAATCTTCATTATTAATCGAAGCGATGGACGATCGACGATTGTGATGATCACGTGTCATCAGTAACATGCGTCCAACCAATTCTGTAGTTGATACACCTTGAGTACGTTTACATTCTCGATATCTCCCAGCCTCCTTTACAGCTTGATAACAGTCCGTACCATCGGCAAGTGTGGTAATGTCATCACCATGCACACAAAAATCACAGTTCTGTTGATCCATTACCTCAAGACTTGTAAAATAAGGTGCATCTGGAACAACCAAATCAACCCATTTACATGCCGCAACTGCAGCATATCTAGAATAAAATAAAAATTACCATTGATTAAATTAATATAAAAAAAAAGTAAAAATTCTAACCAATTTTGACTACCTCTCCCCCTCTTTCATAACAGTAGGTCCCTTGTGTTTTTCGATTTCTGCATCCGAATGAACACCGACAACCAGATAATCACCCATTGCCTTTGCCTGTCAAATTTAAATGATGAAGAAAATTAATTAATTCCGTGAAAAGAAAAAAATTTTTTTTCCTAGTATTTACCTGCCGCAAAGCGTTGGCGTGGCCATAATGCATCATATCAAAGCAACCGTCAACCCATACCCTATATCAGGGTTGAGAAGTTCAATGATTAATAAACTAATTTAAATCCTTCATAATACAAAAGTAATACGAGAATGTATGGTATCAAAGTTGATAATAGTTATATTGTAATATAATATAATTAATATACCTGATAGGTTTGCGCTTTGGATTTGAAGTATATCCAGACATGTCTGAAAATTTCCCATTAAGCTGGTTAGGAAATATAAAAAAAGAAATTTATAGATCATTTGATCTAGCCAATCATCAGAATGATTATCAAAAATACCAAATATAATATGATAATCAAAACCTGGCAATTTTATTATTTCAGCATGCAAAAGAATAAAGTCATTCACAAACAAATAGAAACCATTTGTTTGAATTGATAAATTGACGAAATAATCCAACGTTGTAAAGGTTCCGGAATTTGTGGTCGGTATGACAAATACAAACTACATGACGATGAAACAAGAAAATTATTTTTTGTGATCATATTTTTATTTTGTTTTAACTGTAAAATTTAACAAGATCTTATTTTATATCAAAACATGAATAGCATTTAAAACGTCTTGTCAACGACCGAATTCGATCAGATTTCCTTCACGAGATTATATCTTGGAAAAGATGAATTCTTCCATATATTCGAGATGTATTTCGGATATTACAACAATGTTATGATCACCTTTATTTTAAGTCTGCATGAGATGCATCAAATGAGAGTTAATTACCTCCAAATCAAACAACTAGCAAGATTCTCGTGGTACATTGTTCTATCCCTTAAATGGGATGGATTTTTTTTTTAATTTAAACTGTAGTCGAAATTTCCTACATAAAAAAAAATTTAGGTCTTTGTTTTACTGAATTGATTTTATGTACTTTATATTAGTGTTTGTTTTGAATTGTTTGTCACCAACCAGAGAAAACCGGTAAAAATTTCGATGTCTAACCGTTTTCCGATTAAGAGTATTGATCGCTGAAATTCTGATCATTGATTGCCAAATTTTCACCAAAAAAAAATTTCGAAATAAGGAAATTTCATATGAAGATTAAGTAAAAACTTATTTATATATCTATGAAATTTATGAATTTATCTAAATTGTCTGTGTAAAAATAATAACACCAAAATATAATAATCATAATATGAGAGAAAATTTTTAAATAGGTGGCGCAAAATAACTGCGGCTTAGCATTTATAATTTTCATTTTTTTCACCGCCAATTCTTCGTTTATCCGAGATTCTCGTTGTTATAGCTTTGCGATAAAAATATATGAATAAAAGAATATTATAAAAAAGTTGAAATCTCTATAATAGCAAATGCTACGTTTCTTAATAGTTTTTTTTTTCTAGTCCTCTGTAGAAGTTTTGCCATTAAGCTCTTCAATAAGTTTAAGGTGACAAAAGAGGTACTTTCTTCTCTCACCCTTTTTCCACCCACTTCTACATTTTCCAATCACTCTCATAAGAAAGCTCTGTCACCGATCTTCAACCTTTTATTTAGAGGCCATCTTAAACAAGTTTAACGAACCTTCGTAAAAGAACGCTCATCAGTTTCGTTTCCATCATGACAACACAACGTCCTGTCAGCGAACAATTTAACCTTCAACCCGCAAAATCGGGATCTAACTCGCAGTATCGACAATCGGCTGACCTATCTCACTTGGGACAACAACCGACAAACCATAGGAGTTCAAGGCCAACCTCCGAAATATTCTCCGCAAATAACCATAACACATATCAATCACCTGAAGGTAAGAGAGTTTTCAAAAGGTTATGCATTAAAACAAGTTTAATCTTTTAAGTGATAAATTTTCTTGGCAAAACTATAATGTACTTTTCTGTGGGAAAGCGAAAAAAAAAAAAATTAATAGTTTCCTAATAAACATTCACAATTTTTTTTTTCTTTTTTAAGCTGAAGCAATCGACAAGTGGTTTGAAGACCTTCAACATTACGAACAAACACTTGAAGAAATGGCTACAGCGAGTTTAGATCAAAATTTCAAAGAAGAACTTAGTGCCATTGAACAATGGTTCCGAGTTTTATCCGAAGCTGAACGAACGGCCGCTTTGTATAGTTTATTACAACATTCGACTCAAGTACAGATACGATTTTTTATAACTGTGCTTCAGCAAATGGCAAGAAATGACCCTATGGGAGCTCTTCTGTCACCGGCAAATCCTGAAAAAGGTGAGTTTAGAAATCAAAAATTTTTTTTCCCCCTCTTTTGACCGCGTTTCACATCTACAATTTTTCTGGGAAATTATGATTTTTAAAATTGTATGATCCATCAGTTAAATATATTTGATATAAGATAGAATACTCGATTGATTCCAAAATTTTTGATATTAAAAATTATCAGATCTAATGCAGGCGCAATTGGCAGGCGCTATGGCAAAAGCTGAGGTCGAAGCCAAACTAGCTGGTATGTCTCTTAAATCACCAACAAGTCCGACGTATCCACGTCGTTTATATGATCGACACTCGGGTGTCGAATTCTTATCTCCTGAAGCCGCCATTTACTCGGATCCTGCAGCTGCTCTTGCACAGCAAAGAGCTAGACTTCAAGCCAATACCGGTAATCGATCGGCTTCCTTATATTCATCACGACCAAAATCTATGGTTGCCGAGACAGATCAAGCGGTTTGGGCCCCGACTAGTGCTACTAGCAATAACAATAACAACAACAACAACAACAGCATTAATAATAAAGACCGAACAAGCAATGGTCGGCCGAAATCTGCTGATCTTAGTGCCCTTCCTTGGACCCCAGCAGCTTTTCCATTACGTTCACCTCGACCTGGAACTGGCGCTTTTGACGGCGAGTTATCTCCTCTCGTTGGCGGTAGTTGGGCTAGTATGGTGTCTACACCTGTGGTACCAATGTTTGCAGAAAACAAAAATAAGCAAGCTACAGACGTTGATTTGGTTAATAAAAAATTAACCAATTGGAGTATTAGTAATAGTTCTGGCAATCGTGTTGTTTTAGAAAGTGACGTTAAAAAATTCCGTCGTAATCACGGAAAAAATAATAATTCCGGTGTTCCGGCTACAGTACAAGAAGAGAAATATAATACAGCCAATATCGTACTAGCGATGTATGACGCTGATGGAAATATTCGTTCGCCTCAACAATCTCCTATTCCAAGTCCAAAAGCTCTTGGATCAAGGCAAAGTTCGCGACCTACTTCACCAAATCCTAATCCCACCGGTGGCTTGTATCCCATTCATCCTGGTTGGGGCCCTTCAACTAGCAGCGGGAAAGGAACTCACTTAACACCTCCGAATGTAGGAGTACCTTATAATGACGAGAATGGCGAAGTGGGTGGTTATCACAGTGATCATAGTGATGCTTCACACCATGCTAATAATTCAAAAGGTCACGGTAGCGGCGGTGGTGGTGGTGGTGGTAAAAATAAGAAAAAACCAAATGATGATACAGTTGATTTTAACTTATTACAAGGTCTTTAATTATTCCCACTTATAATCTTTTTTCCTTATGATGCGTATCTTAATTAACAAACCTAACTTTATAATGTATGTGTAGATATTCCACAATGGCTACGAAGTCTTCGTTTACACAAGTATACTCCGGTATTTGAAGGAATGAATTACAAAGAAATTATCGAATTAGACGATTCTGAGCTAGAGCAAAAAGGAGTAGCGGCTCTTGGAGCTAGGCGCAAGATGCTGAAAGAATTTGAGAAAGTCAAAAAGGCAATGGTAACATATTATTCATTTCGTTTTCTGAAGATTAATTTGTATGTAAATGTTAGAGTTAATTCATTTTATATTGGTAGGCTGAAAAGGGTTCATAAAAATTTTTTCGAATGAAAGATCATCATTTTTGGTGTATGCCTATATTGTATTTTTTTTTTTCCCCTTTATTTTATTTTATTTTTTTTTCCTTTCTTTTCTTTATATAAACATTCATTATTTCTCATCACTTTTTCTTCTCACAGATATATACTTTTCTTGTGAATAATTTTTTTTATACATCACTTTTCTCAATTTTTTCTCCCCCAAATAAATATTTTAAAATTAGTCCTGTATACCTAGATCTCTTTTCAAAGGACAGGAGCCTTTTATAGTAATTTTAATAGTTATTAAAAAAATTTTTTGGGGACAGGTGCTCCACCCTTTTTTATATTTACAAAGGTTAGGGTATTTTAAGTGTATTTAGGTTTATCTCCGAATTTTGTTAATAATCATTATACTTTAAACTATATAATTTTATTTTATTTTTAAAAAAATATTCGAATGTGTATTTAATTTGTTGTTAAGGTGAGCATTATGATTAATGTATTTCTTTTTTATTATCATAAGTCAAAAAAAAAAGCTTAGCATGATTGAGGCTTATATTTCGAGACGCCATTATATCATGACGTTAACGGCACAATGCGCGTATGAAGTATGGTGTAAAAGGATCTAAAATATAGAAATATATATATATATATATTCTGATGAGTTTCTGAGGGTTAATTTCTTGGTTATTAGATTAGAATGGCGCTTTTACTTATTTGTAATATTATCCTAACTTTAGCATTTAGAATTATTTCTATATATTTTTATATATATACCAATAACAAAATTTTTATTTAACCACTATATTTTTTTTTTTGTTCATCTGGCCTAGTTAATATTACTGCGTCTTTACTCATTTATTCACGTGATTCGAGTAATCAACTACGTTTCCTAAACAGTTGTTAACCTTTACAGTATATTGAAAAATCCCATATAGTTATATCCTTTAGAACAAAAAAAAATAATTGTGATTATAAAAAGCTATAAGATGTAACTATAAGAAAGGTTCTTTAATAAATATAAAGGTTAATTGTAATTTAATATATATTAATTATCATATTAATTATTTTTTTATTAATAAAATAATATTTTTAATTTATCTAATAAATAATAATTGTATTTTAATAATATAATTATATTTGTTATTTTTAAATATTTATATAAAATTTATATTATTTATACAAATAAATA